ATGGGCTGAATTGCACAAAACGCATGATCGCACCGGCTAGTCTGGTGCGCGTTGCCATTTATCTTACATGCGTCAGCTAGGGCGGTAATGCTGCATCGTGAGGCCGCGTAAAACCTTGTTCTCCAGCATGCATGACTACCGTAAATTTTGCGTGACGGGAAATGAATAAGTCGTCCACTGATAACGCATAAGATATCGAGTGACATGGAGGACAAAACCCGTAACATGCACTCATTTTTGAGGATGCGATAAAATTGAATATTTGTCATACCCTCAATGCAAGGAGTTACATCTCTACAACCTGAATTAGAACACAAACAGATATAGTTCGGTTTTCTATGCTTATCGTTTCTCAAAACTTTTTAAGGCATCCATACATAAGATTTAGGCGTGCACGACGTGGGAATATGTTTTTACAATTTCAAGTTCCCAGCCTTCCTGGTTGCTGAGCTGAAAGTGCGTGAACAAAACAACCTCTCGACAATATACGTTTTTTATTTGCATAAGGTGCAAAAACGCATAATAAAAATTGCGAAGATCCATTTGCACATCGAACAAAACTAATATTCTATGCCTCACATCGCAACAAATGTTTCCGTGCAATAACTGCCTCTCTACCTTTCCGAATTTTTACACTTTATAAAGGCAAACTGCTAGGCGAAATAAGCAGAACCAACGCCATTATTGCTACATACCTAGTGCGGCAGGGCGACTTTGAGATGGCGCGTGGAGGCATCCGTTGCTGCTGCTTCAGCGCTTCAATTTGCTGCTCGCGCATTTTTATAATTCGCAGCTTCTCCATCGCTTCCTCCTCCTTCTTCTTATTGTTCATTTTCACGCGCATTGCGCGCTCCTCGCGATCCCTGAATTTATCCACTGGGCAGTAAATTTTTTTGAAAATACAATTCTTTTCCTCTTACAATTACCAGCAAATGGAACAGCCACTTCGACTGACCTTTTAGCACGTTCGGCTTTCTCCTTCATCAGCTCCTCCTTATTCTTCATTACGAT